TATAATTCATTAGTGTAATTGAATGTAAGTTCTGTTTATGCTTATATGTCTATATCGGAACATGACATCCCGAGGTTTTATTATTAAATGAAAATACATTCTATTTGAGAAATGTTTTGATAAGTTATTATCATATCTTGTTTTGGTAACAAATTCCGCAACCGTTTTCTTTAAAAAATTACTCTGATTTTAAAAACAAAGCATAAACAAATCGGTCTTTTCTGGCCGTGAAATTGGGGATGTCACAGTTGGTATCAGAGCATTAGTTTAAGTAAACTAGGAATTTGTAGGAAATTTCTAGACTTAAATTTAGAATACTAAGTAATGATTGTGAGGAGTGTGTCTAAAATATGTTAGGTAGTACACCTAAATTGACACAAGCACTAGTTTATTTTAGGAATGATGTCTATGATGCTTTTATGTGCTAAATGTTTTGTGTGATAGATATATTGATGCTATTATTTGTTCGGATCTATGGTCTGTTGACGACTGGATCTGGAAACCTTATGTGTTTAGGATTCTAAGTGTACGGCTACGATATTAGAACTAACATGTAAACGTTTCGGAGTAATAAGGATGATTTAATTATCTATCGTGATTGAGGATCTGAATTCACCATATTTGGTGTGTAGATCAAAAATGGTAAGAACCAAAAGTGGAGTTGGAAACGTGAACGAAGATAGGAAACAACCACCTGTGATTGAGCAAGCACTTGTTGTAGCAGCAACACCAGAGCCAATGACGATGGTTGGGGTGCAAGCGATGATGCAGATGATGTTGGATCGCCAAATGGAGGAGACAAGGCGATTACTCAAACAGAATCGTGAGGAACTGTCACTTCAAGTGGAAGAGCCCGAAGTGAATGGAGGGCCGTTTGAGGGGGGTAACTACAGTGGGACTGTTGGACAAGCAGAACCCCAAGTGGCAGAAAGGAATGACCCAGAAAGGGAAAGAAATAGGGATGGGTGTATGTATAAAAATTTCTTGGGCGCCAAGCCGCCAAGTCTTTCTGGAAGCCCAAAGCCTGTTGAGATTATGGACTGGATCTCCGAAATGGAGATAGTGTTTGAGAGTTGCGACTGTAGCAACAAACAGAAGACTGTCTTTGCAGTTAGACAACTGAAGACCAGAGTCTTGAGCTGGTGGAAGTTACTAGCAGATATGATGCCTCGAGGGGAAGCCCTGAGGATGTCTTGGGAATCATTCCTGGAGCAGTTAAAGATGCAGTACTGCTCAGAGATAGATCTAATTGATCTGAACAATGAATTCCAGAACCTGAAGAAAGGTAAATTGAGCATTGATGATTATGCTACTGCATTTGCTGAAAAGATGAAGTTATTTCCATACTTAGTGCCAACTGAACTCTCAAAAATTGAGAGGTTCGCAAATGTACTGCCTATCGACTTTGGCCCAACGGTCAAGATGGCAACTACTTTGAAGACAGCAGTCCAAGCAGCTAAAAAGTGGAGACCCAGTTAAAGGAAAGGGGTCTGGAGAGAAACAAGGTGGGCGAGAAAAGAAAGATTGAAGGATCTTCAAGGTCCGATGAGAAGAGAAAATTTTCGAAGTTTGATTCAAAGAAGCTCGAAGAAGGAGCACAATGGTGTGACAAGTGCAAAAGGAAGCACATTGGGGAATGCTCTAAAGAAATGACCTGCTTCAAATGCGGGAAGACTGGTCATTACGCCAACAAATGCCTAACCAAAAGAGAAGTCTTCTTTAAGTGTGGCGAAGAATGGCACTTCAAGCAAAACTACCCAAGAAGAGAAGAGGCTATAAGGCCAAATGCACCACCAAAGCCAAGAGCATTCCACATGATCCTCGACGAAGTAGAAAACAATGCAAGGATTCAAGGAGGAAGACTTCATATCAATATATAAAGTCTGTATCAAGAAGTGTAGCCTACTAGAGGCGTAGTATAGGGTGAACTTGAACATGTGCGTAATCGTTTCAAGAAATAATATAAACCTGAGTTTTGCTATCTGATATGTTGAATGATTATGTGAATTTCTTGTATGGTGACTTGGTCGACTGCGGGACAATACTTGAGACGAGTATGAGTAAGTGTGAAAGGTAGTAGATGCATATACTACCGGAAGCACATGACTCGCACTTGGATCAGGGAAAGTCACAAGGTTACCAAGAAGCTGGTGATTGATTCCATTTTATTCTGGTATGTCCTTACCATTGTTTCGGTAATGACTAGAAAGATGGTTCTTGTTACGACCCTAGTGGTCATATCCAATTGGAGTTCGACTACGGTGAGTATGTTACGTGGTTCGGAGAACCTAGTTCGAAGTAACATCGGACGTAAGTCAAAAGATTGAAGTTAATGCGATCATTGGTATCATACTCGTTATTCATAAAGTTTGTAGCTAGAAATGCTAGATGCTGAAATATGATTATATCACACTAGAATATGAAGGGAGGTATATTCCATTCTTGAATTTAACTTTAAAAAGACCGAGTCTAAGCGTCGCATCGTGCGATGAGAGGTCGCTAGAGCACGACCCATCGGTCTATTACAATAGATAAAGGAAAGTATTTATCCTAAGAATAAGAAGGAGTCCACAATAAGGACTTATTTGGTAACTTGAAGGTTACGATTGAAAGTACAACATAGTACGATAAGCAGATGCAAGATTGAGCATCGTCTGCGGTCAAGAAAGCCATAGAGTTAAATACTCTTTCGAGGAAACATAGAAGTTACGGTAACTACCTAGGATGAAGAAATAATGAGTGGAATCATTATGCAAGTCCTATTTTGTTGATGATTCCAGGACGTAATCATCCTAAGGGGGAGATAATTGTAACGTCCGTAGATTCGGGCAAGTCAATTTAGAGACGATAGGTGTCAAAAATGAATTTTTGATGAAAGATTATTTATAATGAATAATCTTAACTAAGTTATAGTATATGTTACAAGGTTTCCGTGCATATAAATAACGCCGAAATCCGAGTTATAACGAAGAAGTTATGACCTGTCGAAGTTTCGCGACAAAACCGACACAACGCTGAATGACGTAAAAAGTGAATTTATGCTAGAGTGATATTTATCCTTAGCGATCTAAATGAAAGTTTTAGAGTTCGTTAACCATGAGCGTGCATAAAAAGAACGTCCGAATCTGACTTCGTATGAGGAAGTTATGATTTTTCTAAGTTTCGATTTAGCGGTATGCAGCCCGAATACTCAATTTGAGACCGAGCGGTTTTTAGCCAAAACAATCTAAATGAGAATCGAAGATCTCGTTAATATTAGTTAAACGATAAAAAGATAGGCGAAAACGGACATCGGATGAAGAAGTTATGAATTAATAAAGTGGATTTTCCTCTCCCGGCCTACTAAAACTAAATAATAAAAATAAAGTCAAAATTAGCCGACAGAGTCTAAACTAAAGTTGTAGATCGTAGTCTCACCTACGTGGGGATATAAAGAACGTCGAAAACGGAGCTCGTATGAGGAAGATATGGATTTTTGAAGTTTATTAAATAATTAAGGTATTTAATTTAAATAAAAAATTCGGATATTATCCAAAGGGAGGGAGTCACCGGGCTTATCCAGGTTACGTCCAACGTACCTAAGATTACGCCCAGCGTAATCAAAGGTTCCAGCCCCTATAAAAGGAAGTCGAGGCTGTCGAGTTTCTTTGCTCATTTCTTCCCTTTCTCTCGCGTTTTTGCATCGTTTTTCATGAAAGAAATATCCTGAAGCCCCGATATCATTCCCGAGCCCCGAAGAGAGTCTCGAAGCCCCGAAGATCCTGAGAAGTGTGATTCCTGAACCAAATCTCTGCCCGCGAGGAGCCCGGTTTTTGTGAAGATCTTTCAGATCTACCGAAGAATACTACTTCTACAAGCCGTAGTGTTGTCCGATCATCTTCTAATCAAGTGAGTGTGTTGCTACTTTCTTCTAACACATAAATATGAAGTATTTGTTATAAAATATGTGCTATGTGTTTATATATTGTTGTGTTTTATTTGAGATGAGTGTGGAATGGATGATTTATATAGTTTTTAAATGAGTTAAACTGTATATGTATTTTATATCTACAAATATGTTGGGTAGAACATGGGTAGATGAGATAGTTGGTGTGTGATAAAAGGATGAGTTGGATAATGAGATCAAGAGGTTATTTTTTTAGATCCGTGAGTATGGATTAGACCAAGAGGTTAGTTTTAGATCCGGGAGTATGGATCAGGTAAAGAGATAAAACTTGTTATTAGTCCGGGAGTATGGATTAAGACTAAGTTAATTGTCCCTAGTCTGGGAGTATGGATTGGGCATAGTTATTGATCCGAGAGTATGAATCAGATCAAGATTAAGGTATAGTTAATTGTCCCTATTATGGGAGTATGGATTGGGTACAATTATTGATCCGGGAGTATGGATCAGGGGAAAAGGTTAGTTTTTGATCCGTGAGTATGGATCAGGTGAAAAGGTTAGTTTTAGATCCGTGAGTATGGATCGGGTGAAGACGATAGTTTTAGATTCGTGAGTAGGGATCGGGTAAAGAGGAAAATTTTAGATACGAGAGTTCAAATCGTGTCGTTGTGAGGATCGATGGGGTGGGATAAGAGTTGCCTTTATATGGTGAAATTATACAAGTTTGGATGTTCTATATTTATAAATATATGATTAAAACATTGTAGGATGAAAACCCTATATGCTCACCAGGCTCCCAAGCCTGACCCACTTAGTTTTCTTTGTATCACAGGTATCGATACGAAAACATATTTCACAGAGAGATTTAAAGGAGATATAAATCATTAGTGTAATTGAATGTAAGTTCTGTTTATGCTTATATGTCTGTATCGGAACATGACATCCCGAAGTTTTGTTATTAAATGAAAATACATTCTATTTGAGAAATGTTCTGATAAGTTATTATCATATCTTGTTTTGGGAACAAATTCCGCAACCGTTTTCTTTAAAAGATTACTCTGACTTTAAAAACAAAGTATGAACAAATCGGTCTTTTCTGGCCGTGAAATTGGGGATGTCACATACCTATTTTTTCACCATTCTTCTTAATCACACCACTTGTTGACCCACATTGCCCTTGACCATTCCCTTTCCTCAATGCACTCGTTTCACCTTCACCTTCAACCTTCCTCTTTATGACCTGACTTTTTTGGGCCTTTGACATTGCATCACATGTTGACTTAGTGTGGCTTGATTTCTTATAAACACCACAGATGATCTTTTTCCCTACCTTGGATACTATGTGTGGTCCACTAACCTTAGTATTGTCCCTCTTTCTCTTAACAGTGGGTCTCCTTAGCATCTTCCTTTTCAAAGGTGGCAAAGGTGGTATGTAGTCTGTTGGGGGCCACATTGCAATCCCATTCATGCATTTTATTGAGTACTTGTAGGTGTTCATATATATGCAATCACAATATAAAGGATCAACAAATGTCTCGACATCTCTTTTTACATAACTAATGGCTACCACTGATTGTACACAACCATATCCATTCATTTGCCAAATCCTACAAGCACATGTTTTCTTTTCCAAATCAACACCATAAGACTCTCCTAAGTTTCTTGTTTCAAACGTATCCAGGCTACTAGGAATCACTTGCCAGTACCTACAAAAAATAACAGTTAGCAGGGCTAATAAAGTACCTTTGTTTGATATTCAATTCAGTTATGGTGAATAATAAAGTACCTTTGTTGGGCCTTCAATTCATTTATGGCAAACCTTATGTTTGGGCATACATCAAAATGTCCCCATCCACTTCCTTTCTGCCTCAAACTACACATCCTATGCATCACATACAATCTAATATCCTATAACATTGTAATAATTGGCTTCTTCCTAGAATCCAATATAACATTGTTAAAGCTTTCAGAAAACTCATTCTCAATTGCATCACACCCCCTTCCTATTTGAAAAAAATGCTCTTGACCATGAGTTTGGATTCCTTCCTATAAGATGCACATAAGCAGCAGGGCTAATCATTTGAATCCCTTTCATTGCAGAAATGAAAAGAGGTTTAGTTGAGGCCCTACAAGCCTTCCAAAATAATTTCTCATATTGAGCTCCAGGGAATTTCTTCTTAAAATTGGAAAGAACATGCCTGGCACATTACCTATGTTTTATCTCTGGAAATAAATCTTTCACTGCTTCAATTATCCCCTGCATTTACATTATCATAATATTCATAAGTGTATCACATTTGAAACAAATAAAAGCTATGGAAATATAAAGTAAAAACGTACATTATGTTGATCTGACATCAATGTCTTACCAAACCCACCTTCAAGATGCAGATCTTCTTGTAAGTTTTCTAAGAACCATTTCCAGTTGTCTTTATTTTCAACACAAACTACAACCCAAGCTATTGGGTATATATGATTGTTACCATCCCTACCAACAACACATAATAACTGACCAATACACATTCCTTTTAGAAAACACCCATCTAAGTTTATTATCCCTCCACAACCACTTCTTTAACCCTCCTTTAGTGCATGAAAACTTATATATATCCTGCTAAAGTAAGTTTCCCCATCTGGCATAGAGTTCACAAACAACTTGACTGTTGACCATGGATTAGACTATTTTATCTCTTCACCATATGACCACAAATTTGCATAATTTTCCACTATGGTACCTTCAACAAGAGATATTGCATGTTGCTTAGCTCTCCTACATTGTCCCAGACTAACCTCTATGACAAATTTAGTCTTCACTTCCTCTTTTAACATCCTAACATTGAATTTCTGATTCTCAAGAACTTCCCTGGTGAAATGACTACCAATCTATTTGTAGTTAACAATTGACCCTAACTTAAAATTTCTTGCACAATTGTGGTCAATGATATGGGACTTGATCTAGAATGAGTTCTCCTCACTCATCCATGATTCCCATAGCCTAAATGTGCATTGACCAGTACTACACTTAACCAATAACCTTTTACTGTCATTTTTTTTTTCAAAGTATAATTGATACCCATTTGCTACAACATAATTACAAATCCTAAATTTTAATTGTTTAGGGTTGGTGAACCTCATACCTAGAATTGTCAACTTCTTCTTCCAATGTATGTCTTCATTAAACATCGGTTTTCCTTTCACATATGGGACATTATCATATTCATCATCTTTTTGATCACCTTCTGTGACCTCCTTATTTCCATTTGTCTGACTAACTCCTTCATAGGTTACTCCTTCCATGTTGCTTTGTTGTGGACTCATGAAGTCTGTTAGGTCAATACCTTCTTCTCTTTCGATTGATATGTTATACTTTACATAACAGTTATCCTCATTTTCATTTTCATTTGCCTTAGTTACGTGCACAGTAGTACCAAAATGGTCCATGTAAACAGGAACTTGTACTCCTCGTTGATAAGCAATGTCTATAAATTCTTGATATTAAAGTTCATTTGAAATCAAGGTTAAACCTTTTGGGATTTGTAAATCGGGTTGACAATAATAAAGTTTCTCACACTTCTCTTGTGTGAATCGTTCAAGAAAATCCACAAACTCATTATATGGCATACCAACAAAATCGATGTTCTCGAGCACATGATGAAAACCATCAGAATAGCAAAAAGGTTTGTTGATGAACACACCTTGGAAATGAACTTTGATTGAGAGGAATAAGGTCATTGATCTTCAGTAACTATGGTGGGATGAGGGTTTTCTTCAATGAGGAGGGGTTACTTCAACGAGGGGGGGGGGGGATTGTATAACGCAAACGGTTTAATTTATAACAAATTAATATTAAAGTACCACATGTGGACATTTCATTAAATGACGTGTCACCGGCATTTTCCCTCGTGACATGTATATTACCTTTCAACCTCGTTAAAGGTAACATAATGGTATTTTAAAACAAAAATATGAAAGTATATTCCTTTAATGTGCAAAAAAAAATAGTTTGGTGACCTTTTAAAACAAACACGAGAAGTTTGATGGGCTAATATGACATTTTGTGACATCCCCATTTTCACGGCCAGAAAATACCAGTTTTGTTTGTGCTTTATAAAAATCAGAGTACCTCTTTTAATAAAAATGTTGCGGAATTTGTTCCCAGTAAAACATGATAAATACGTTACCAAAACATTTCCAAAGAAAAGTATTTTTATTCATTTTAAAACATTTGGGATGTCATCGTCAATACATAAACATAAGCATAAACACAACTTACACTCATTATCACTAGTGATTTATATCTCCTTAATCTCTTAGTGTAATGTGACTTCATAGCAACACCTGTGATATAAATAAACTGAGTGGGTCAGGTTGGGAAACCTGGTTAGTACATAGGGTTTTCAACCCACAATAATATAATTATTATGTTTAAACATCAAACAATCAACCCGATTACCCATCCACATTATCTTCTTTATTCTTAAGGATCTACCCTAAGAATCAGCTATTCCTCGTTCATTTATTCCTAAGGATCATCCTAAGGACTCGGCATGAAGGCCACGGTTTACACAATAGGCACTAAGTATGCATAGTTGCCAAGGATTAGGCACCAAGTCTGCATGGTCACGAGAGTTTAGGCATCAAGTCTGCATGATCGCCAAGTTTTAGGCACTAAGTCTGCATAGTCATCAGGGTTTAGGCATCAAGTCTGCTTGATCGCCAAGGTTTAGGCACTAAGTCTGCATAGTCACTAGGGTTTAGGCATCAACTCTACATGATCACCAAGGTTTATAGTGTTGGATTAGTGTCTAAGTCCATAACTATTTTGGTATGTACTTGACCCAATGGTGCATGGTCCTTTTGGGTTGCCATCACCAAAGCAACTTGATTGTAGAAATAAATAAAGAGAGAGAGGTTATTATGATTTATTAATATTTTATAAGAATAATATATTAAAGGAGAAATCATATTTGCTTAATTAATATTGGTCAATAATTAATTAGGAATTAATTTTGTGATCAAGTGTAATTAATTAAACTAGAGGGGTTAAATTGTAATTATGTGATAGTTACAAAATATGGTAATGGTTATCCTAAATATGGGTTGAACGAATTCAAGGAGATAAGGATCCTTGAAATCGTCCAAAGGATAAAGGATAAGGGTTTTCAAGGCTTATCTTATGGTTGCTTTGTGGATAAGCAACTAGATAAGGATAATGACCGAAACCCTATCTCTACACCTATATAAAGACCCTAAGGCCTTAGAATTTGTGTACTTGTTCCCAAGGAGTCCTAAGGACGAATTCTAACCTCTCTCCTCTCTCTTTATACATTCTTCATTTGCTCTTGGTGTTTGTAAGCCATTAGAGGAGTGACACTTGTGACTCTAAGCATTCCAAAGTCAATTCAAGGTGGAAGTAGGATTGTTATTGCTATATAACTATCAAGGTATGTTCTTAAACCTTATCATATGTTAATATCGATTTCCATATGCTAGTATTAGGGTTTGAAGTCTTGGATTCAAAGCATGTACAATAGAGAAACCTAGATCCAAGCATTAGGGTTTGTATGAGCACATAGGATGTCTTATGACCAAAACCCATCAGTGGTATCAGAGCCATTGGTTTGGTTTCAAATGTATGAACTTGATATATTAGGGTTTATTGCCAATAAACCCTAAGAGGCTAGGGTTTTTCGAGATTAGGGTTTGCAAACCCTAATTTGCAAGAGTTTGAATAAGATCTTCAAATCCTTTCCGTAAACCCTTAAATTTCGAAATCTAGGGTTTGTTATAATCCCTTGATTTTCGAAATTTGCCTCCTCCCCAAGATAAGGTCCTAATTTTTAGGGATTTGGATTATCCCATATCTTGCAATTATCCTCTAATTGTTATATATGGTAATTCAAGATCTTGCATTATCCATCCATATTTTCGAAATCTATATAGATATTTAAGGGATTAGGATAACTTAAATGTCTAAATGGTAATCATCCTCATTATTTAGATAATCCTTATGATTTAATAATTAAATTAATAGTCTAATTCAAGATAATTATTAAATCAAGAGTTTTAATATTTAAAATTTTAATTTAAATGTCATAAATTCAAAATTTTAAGATAGATTAAAACTAAATTGTTTTGAAATGTTTCAAAACTTGCCCTCAAGTTTTGGAATTTAAAAGTTGATTAAAAAGGTTTAATTAGGAGTGTTAAATTCTAAAACCCTAGTATTGTTTTGAAAAGTTCAAATCACACCCTTATGGTTTTATTAATTAATTAAGGTGTATAATTAAAAGAGATTTAATAAATCCATAAAAGTTTTGGTTTGCAATTTAATTGAATTAAAGGTATAATTATTAAATTTGACCACATAGTATTTTAAAAGTATGAAATGCACCATATATATATATATATATATATATATATATATATATATATATAACATTAAAAGTCTAACATTATATATATGTATGAGTAAAAGTCAGTCTTATCGTTAGTAGGCCTCATTCACGAAGCTGGTCTATAAGGGGTGTTTAAGGAAATTGCCTATAAAATGGCGATTGAATGGGTATCCACTCTTACCCACCGCACTCTTGACTAGTGGAGGGTCGTTAGCCGAACAGGTAGGATAGGACGAAACCTTCCATTATAAGTACAATGAAATACAAAGTAACTAAATATATTTTTCTAATTCCCAATCTTAGTTACTTAGGCAAAAGTGAATTGATGCAATTCCATGAAATTACACTTTGTGCCCTTGCGAAGACGTTAGTGGAGCGTGAGTGGTTTACCGGCACACTAAATGGTTCTAAGCAAAGGTTGCAAAGGGTGACTCAATGTTTGTCATAGTTCGGTGGAGCGTATGTGGTTTACCGGCACATCGAATGGGTGATTGTAACATGTGAGGGCACCATGTAAGTTTGCATGGTTATTCACACCCGCTTTGTGATCCTCGGCATCCCAGTCACAAACAAGAGGGGCATATCGAGATTTAAACATGCCATTGAAAGTTCAATGAATCTCAAAGGATCTAGGAGTTTTCATAGATTTAAAACTTAAATTTCTTTTTCGTTTTTCATGGTGGAAATTAGTGAATCGTCATTCACTTACCTTCAAATATTCTGCAACTAGATTACGGCATCCCTTTTCTAGGTTGTAGCGTATTGTGTTGGGTCCTAGCCTTAGTATCTCATTTGGGTGATTTACTAAGGACTCAATCGATCAACTAACTTGAATTTGTTTTCTCCCGTTTTGTAGATGTCAAAGTTTGACAATCATGGTCTTCCCAAATCCCATGGAACAAGCATTCCACATGAAAATGATATTCCACGATTCTATCGAGGAATAAGAAATCATGCTTCACTTCCTCCTTCTCCTCTAATTGTTCTCCCTAAACCACAAGAATAAAGAATTGAAAGGTTCAATATCACTAAAGCCCTATTGGAAATGAAACATGAAGATGGTAAATCCGTGTGTGCCCATATTCTAGGAATGAAATCACACATCGATAGGTTGATTATGTTGGGTGTGTCATTCCCGAATGAGTTGGCTGTAAATTGGGTTTTGCAATCACTTCCTGAATCATATAATGAGTTCAAAAGAAAGTATTATATGATGGATCATGACGACAACCTCATTGACCTAACCTACATGCTCATTGCTGCTGAATCAGAAATGATTTGGCGAAGCAATGGAGCGTATTTGTTGGGAGAGTCAACCGACCATGCTTCCAAGGACGTTCTAGGAGAACCGACCTGCGTTTGCTGCCAAGAGAAAGGGCGTTGGATAGAAGTCTGCCCCAAGAGCCTGAAAATTCCAAAGATGGGAGAGTCAAAGTGTATGACTGCGCTTCAGGTAAAATCCACTATCTAACTTCGTTAAGTTCCTATTCATTGATTCAAATACATGATGTGATAAGATTGCATTTGAATGTTTTGAAGGATCGGTGAAAAGAAAGGAAGCTTGATAAGAGAGCAAGATAAATCTAATCACAAGAGATGGATCTCGATCGCATGGACTTGAAGATTGGATTTTGAGCTTAGGTAGTTATGATAGAGTTGTTAGAAATTTTCCTTTTACGTAGTTTTCAATAGATTTTGCATTGTAAGGACAAATGTTTTTCCGCTGCTTTTATAAATAAGATAAATTTTGTTTGACTTATTTATTTATTTGTTTACTTCCTTGCAATGAAATCGTTATGAAAATTGATGTTTGCATATTTCTACAACGAATGTATATGATTCTTAGTTATGTTATTTATGGAAATGTCGAGAATTTACCAAATAGGGAGAGTTTCTCATCGCCCAAAGTTTCAATTGGACTGAAATTTGGAATCATACAACTTGGTTGCATGATGAATGAGAAATTTCATATTTGGAAATTAGACAAATTCGTTGACAAAGTGTCAAGTGAAGGACTAGGAGATCGAGTACACAAAGTTGTGTGTTGATCAAGTTCACCATAAGAGTAACAAAGATATTTGTCATGATTTACTAATGGCTTAGTAAATATGATTACACTTACAAGATTAAGTGTAATTCTGAATTGATTGAAGGGTTTAGATCAATAGTAGAACGAACAAGAAGAATCAAGTAGGCAGAAAGATAAAAGTTTCTCCATTCTAAGAAGAAGGGAGAGTACCTTTTATGCTTTATAATGGGTCTTAATGATTAAGAACCATGTCTCAATTGATCCTCTAAGTAAGTCTTAGTACAATTGTATGTTTAAGAAGAGGA